CTGGGAGTGGCGGTGCACACACCGATAATCCCAGTGCCCCAGAGGCAGGAGGATCACCACCAGTTAGAGACCAGCCTGGACAGCCTAGCAGGACTGTCACAAAAAACCAACCCAAAACAAAAACATAATAAAATGTTAAATGAGCCATTAAGTGCTTTTTTTGTAAGATGCAAACCTTCAGCTGGGCATAGCGATGCACACCTGTAGTCTCCACTTGGTAGGCTGAGGCAGGAGGATTACTGAATTACTGCCAGTTGAAGACCAGCCTGGGCTACATAGTGAGTTCAAGAGCAGCCCAGGCTGCATAGCAGTGCCTTGTCTCAGCAACAAAGAGAAGATCTGAACCTTTTCCATGCCATTTAGAAAATACTGTCATTGAATTTCTGCTGGACAAAGTTTCTTCAACAACAGGGGATCCAGACTGGACTCTCGTGTCTACCTGTGACCTGTGGAAAGACAGCATTTCTGTTTTTTTATTCAGGAGAAGAGAAAGCATCTCCACAGGTAGAACATCACAGAGTGGGCGGCCTCTCCCATGCCCAGCCATGTGCCCCGCACACGGACTACAGAGGCCCTGTGGCTCCGGCAGGGCGGCCTGCGCACTTGTGGGTCTGGAGAGAAGCGAAGCATAGGGCCTGGGGATCTTTGGCTTTAACGGTTTTCCTCTTCTTCATCGAACTTCAGTTTAAACCCTTTTAAGCCTCCAGACTTTTAATAGATTCACGAATTTTGCTACTAAGAACATAAAGAGCCCTAGCTCCGGATTCTTACCTGCCTCCCTTTTGAGGGCCACACTCTTATGTCTTGGAGTATACACTCACATTCTGCCTGGGAAATCCTTTTGTGCCTCAAAAAAAAAAGCATTTAGGCCTCACTCTTCAACCTCACCGGTTGGGTCACGCTTTATATTACATCTATGTTTTTAATATAATTTTATTTTAAAGAGAATAAAAAAAATAATTTAAAAAAAATTAGGAACGATACAGAATTTCAAAACACAAGATGCTGTGAATTCAACCGTGTTTATAGTGCATATTGTTGTCTTCAGAGTAGGCGCGTGCGTGTGTCTTGAAGTGAACATCACATAACATGAACTGGATCCTTTGGAAGTGCACCCTGAAGGCACGTAACACGTTCAAGTTGTTGCGCAGTCACATCTCTGTCTGGTTCCGAAGAAGCCACCTTGATCCTCAGAGAAAACCCCAGGCCCGCCCAGCAGCCGCTTGCTCCCAGGCCCCCTCCTGTGCGCAGCTGCCCACCTGCGCTGTGCCTCGCGGGTCCACCTGTCTGGGAAAGAGCTTGAGTAGAGTTGTGCAGCACGCAGCCTGCTGGCTCTGCTTTTCCACTTCTTTTTAAGAAAACATGGTGTGGCTCACCCCACAAAAGGAGCTAACAGCAAGCGAGCCGCCACGCCTGAGCGGGGTCACCCATGCACTAGTTGCGGGGTCCCGCTTCCTTCCCTTCCTCGGCTGCTTGATCTCGTATTCCTCTTCCCAGTTATTTGAACTCTCCTGCTTTGTTTTTTTTCCAGATTAATAGAGACTCTGCCCCCAAAATGGTTTTTTATTTAGTTTGTGTAGTTAGTAAAGTTTAGATAATAAAGGTTTAAATATGTAGAAAAACAGAAGTAAATTTCTAGTTAAGAAAAATATTGAGACTTCATTTAAAAAAATAATTTCCCAATTTACTAATAGTAAGCATTCGTAAAATACGATTTTTTTTTCTTTTTTGGTCCTAAACAACATTTAATGAACTTACTCCAGTGATATTGATCAGGTTTTCGTTAGGGTGATCTGTGTCTGCCACACTCTGGGGAAACTAGAGGAAGTTTACTCTGCGCTCTTTTGAAGGGAGTGTATGAACTGCGTGAGCGCTGTCTGCTGCCCAGGCCCGCCTGTGGCGGTAGCTTTCCCGATTGGTGTGCAGTCTGCTCCTTCACACCACGCGCACACCAGCCTACACTGTCCACCGGAGCTCTGTGCGCAGACCTGCAGACCAATGTGTGCTTCCAAGGGCGTGCTGTGCTGTGCTGCACTGTGCTCGACTGGGTCTTGTTACGTGGTGCGGGCTGGTCTGGGCTCACTGTAGCCCAGGCTGGCCTCGAATCACAGCGATCCCCCTACCTCAGCTTCTCGAGTGCTGTGATTACAGGCATGTGCCAGCCTACCCAGCTCTTTTAGATATTTTGTATCTTCTTTTGATGTTCTGTATCTGATTTGAACATGGTTTCCAGACCTTGCATGCTAGTTTATCTTTTTTTTCCCTATAGTTAGGATTCAATACAGGGCCTTTCTACTGACCTGTATCTCCAGTCCTTTTGGGGTTTTGGGTTTGTTTTTTGGGTTTTTTTTGTTTCTTTGGCTTTTTTTTTTTTTTTTGGTACTGGGGATCTAGCTCAGGACTTTGTGCTTGCCAGGTGGGTGCTTTTACTGCTGAGCTATCTCCCCAGCCCTGTTTTGTTTTGTTTTAAATTTTAAGCTAGAGTTTTGCTGAGTTGCCCAGGCTGGGCCCAGACTTATCATGGTCCTCTTCCCCAGACACGGGGCATCCACGTATGTGCCCCATGTCAGGCTTGTTCTTTTTAATAGCTGTGTGGGAATTTGTAATGTAGTTATCCCTTTTCCTGTTGAGCATTCACATGGCTTCCTTCTTTTCCTTACTACAAACATGCCACACTACACAGCCTCGTGAGTGCGTGTCTGTGCTCCTGTAGGCAGATATCTGCAGAAGAAATTCATTTATTTATTTATTTTTTATGGTACTAGCAATTGAGCCCTGCATCTTTATACTGAGCTATATCTCCAGGCTTTCCCAATTTTGTATTTTTTTTTTCTTTTTTCTTTTTTTGGAAAAGGTCTACAGGGTGTTCAGGGTCTCACTACTAGATCAGACTCATAGTGATCCGCCTGTTGACAGCCTCCCAAGAGTTGGGATTACAGTTGCGCGCCACCACTTCCAGTCTCAGTTGCCATCTCAGTGTGCCCCGGGTTGGGGCCGGCACCGCAGGCCCGGGGATTGAACCCCCGGCCCCTTTAATCTGCTGAGCTATTTGGCCGGCCCCAGAAGAAATTTTGAAGTGATCTTTTTGTTGCCATTGCTAAATTTCCTCCAGAAGTGTGCCCACCGACTAACAAATGTGTTTGTGTCTTCAGTTTCCAATTAGATACTTAAATTTTCTTTAATTATTACCTGATAGGTACAATAGATGGCATAATATTGAAATGCGTTTTTTACCTTTTGAGGTTAACGATCTAAGTTCTGACCTTGTGTTTCTTTTGTGAGTTGTATGTTAATATTCTTTACTCGTGGTGGTATTCTCTTCCTTTTAAAGGCTCCTTCAAGAAACGGCCTGCTGACATACGGCTGTGTTCCCAGCGCTCAGGAGGGCGGGGCAGGAGGACTGTTGAAGGCCAGCCTGAACCACAGTGAAGCCCTGTCAGCAAAACTAAAATAATAAAAGACTCCTTCTAGGGCTGGGTTTTCAGCCTAATTATATACGAGGCCCTAATGCCCAACACTAAAAGGAAAAATCCTTAAAGACTTTCAGTATTCATAAAATCAACCCTGAACCTCATAAATTTAGGACATTTAAGACATCCTCTCTGAGTGTGTTCTGCCCGCTCAGCTCGGTGCACGTGACCTCAGCGCATGCGACCAGCACCTTTGGGCCGGAGCGCGCCTGTGCTTCGCGGCGCTGCGAGCAGAGCCAGGGCAGTGCGCACCAGGCATGCTGTGCAGTAGCTGCGGCCTTGGCCCTCTGGTTGGTTTTCAGTCAGACAAAATCTGCCTTTTTTATCTTAGTGGCACTTGGTCTTTGTAAACTGAGTGAACGTTCGCCGTGCAGGTACTCACTCTGGGTCTCCTTTAAACCTCTGTCTGTGGTGTGTTTTCTCTGCAGGTTTTGCTTCCTCCGGGGCTGCGGCTGTGTGTTTTCTGAACGCGCCTTGAAGGAGATCCGAGCAGAAGTTTGTCACACGGTGAGTTCCGACATGCTGCATTTGTCCTCTTAGTCCCAAGAGTCAGGTGTGTGGACCCCCCCCCCATCTGCTTTGTGAATATACACAAGCTTTTGTTGAAACACAGGTCTGATAGCTGCTGCTCTGTGTGAACCTGTGCGTGGCTTCATTGCTAGAAGCAGAAGCTCTGCCCCCGGTGACCCAAGCCCGCCCCAGCCCACCCTGCTCGGGCCACACAGGGCCGTGCCCTGACGGCCGCTTCCAGCCTGTGTCCTGGTGCCCTGCACCCTTTCCCTGACCCTCCCCGCTTCCCCGGCGCCTCATTCCTGCCCTGACTTTGCTGCAGTGCAGTTGTGCATGTTTGCCTCGTGGGTGTCCTTCCCTGCCAGCCCAGGGGCGTTTGAGGGCAGGAACAGGTGTGTCCATCCCGGATCTCTGGGTTTTTCTCTGGGGTGTCTCAGTAAACAGCCTGCACCACAGCACCTGCAAAGGGAAGTGTGGGTGGGCTTTCACACCAGTGCCACTGAAGCCTGGAATCCTGGTGTCTTTGGCCCTGTGCAGGCCTGGCGTTTGGCTCAGAGCCGCAGGTGCCCGCCCATCTGAAGGCCGCCAGTGTTGACAGCCTGAGTGTCAGTAGGCCCCAGCGCGTTTCTCCGGCTGTGGGTGAGCCTTACTGAGTAGCTGTGCTGGGCAGCCCCTGTCACAGCCACCGACGAGGGTGGTGTGCTGTAAGGAGACTTCATGCAGGCCCTGTCCACCTGGGTGCAGGACAGGCAGCAGAGCTGTGTCCCTGTGACAGATGCCTGGGAGCAAGAGCTCGGGCCACCACAGCAGTGAGGGGTGCTCAGCCACAGGGCAGAAGGAGCACGCGTGTGAGGCTCAAGCAGCAGCCTCCTCGACAGGAAGGGCGTGTGCTTTGACTCGAGGGACAGGAGACTTTGTGAGCTTGGGTCATGGTAGCTGTGGTGGGCTAGAAGAGGCAAAGTGGAAACTGGAGAGTTAAGGTTGTCACAGAGGGCGGGGGGCACGTCAATGCTCGTGGGCTTTATGCTAAGAGCAGAGGAAAGGGGCTGGTGAGATGGCTCAGTGGTCTAAAGCATCTACTTAGAACAAGCTTAGCAAAGCACAGGGACCGCGGTTCAATCCCCCAGCACCACATGCCAGCCAGCCCCGCCCCCTGGTGGGCTGAGCTGGCCACACACACACACACACACACACACAAATAAATAAATAAATAAATAAATAAATAAAAACTAAGAGCAGAGGAAAGCCAGATGGCAGTGCTAAGCAGGCCGCGCACTGGAGGTCTGAGCTGAGCCCTGTGTCGGAGAAGCGGGAGGTGAGGCAGGCGTGGTGGCGCACGGCTGCAATCTCGACACTCGGGAGGCTGAGGTAGCAGGAGTGCGGCAAGTTTGAGGCCAGCCGGGGCTCATGGTGGCTTTTAAGGCCAGCCTGAACTACACAAGAAGACTCTGTCCCCCAAAAATAAAAAAGCAAATGGAAGAAGAGACTTCATTCACCACAGGATTCAGAGACATGAGCATACGCTTGAGACGGCTAGGAGTGGAGTCTGTAGAACTTGGAAGGCAGCCCTGAGCTTTCTTCTAAGTGCGTTTGGGGACTCACCTCGCACTTCAGTTGGTGTGGTCTCCCATAGAAGGCTGTGTGAGACATGCTCCTGGGCAAATAAGGTTGGATGGCATGGTCCCCTGTGCTCCAGGAGGCTGCAGTCCTGCCAGGCTGTAGTTGTGAGAAGTACCCCGCTGCGCTTTGCCCTCCGAGGTGGGCACCCAGTGAGTGGTAAAGATGTCACTAGGGGCCAGAGATCTAGCTCAGTGCCACAGCCCCTGCCTGGCAAGCACCAGGTCCTGATTCCATGCCTGTTACAAAAACAAAAAAACAACCTCATTGGAGTTCAGGAACAGAGAACTCCCGTTGTCTGTGTTGGCCAGAAGAGGCTTTGTGGAGGGGGCAGTGTGCCACAGTCTACATGTTTGTCTACCTGAAATTTCCTCACCAGCATGATTTGTCCCCTGCCCTCATTGCAGTGCCCCATGAGGTGTCCAAACACGAATAGAGCACGTGTGTTCTGCCAGTGTGTGCCGTACGTAGCCTGGAGTGCGCCTGCGCACTGGAACCTCTGAGTCTGGTCTTTTCCTCTGCTTTTTTATCAGCCTTCTGACCTGAGCTCTGGCCAGCATCTACCGTCAGGCTTGGCACACAGCACTCAGGGCTGCTGCTTGGCCGCCACCTCCAGACTTTCCAGAGTCCTCCCGCACGTGGACCATGTTAATCCTAGTACTACAAGAAAAAAGTTTCTAAAGTTTGGTAGTGTAGTGCTAAGTATTTTGATCAAACTTAAGCAGCTGCTGAAACGATGCCAGCTTCCAGAGGCCAGCACAGTGGAAATCGCCAGATGCACAGCTTCTCCCGGGGTCGCCGGTGCCTGCGCTGTGTGGTGGCCGTGACCTTCTGGGGCCTGGGACGCACTATGCTCTCTTCCTTGACGTGATGGCGAGGGGGCATCTCTCTCGGGAGGCGTGGAGGTTACAGCTGGAAATGGCACCCTGGACACCTGCTCACGTGTCAGCAGCCACTCCGCCTGTGGCTGCACCTAACCACCAGTGTGCCCCGAGGTCGCCCCGCCACAGGGAAAGGGGAGTGCTGGCCATTGCTGCCAGACTCTGACTGCAGGAGGAATGACCTTGCGGCTGCAGCGCGTCCTGCAGGCGTGAGTGAAGAGTGAAAGGCTAAGCAGATGCGTGCCTTTCTAAGGTGATGTGTGAAGTGTAGGGAGATCATTTAAGTAGGAACAGTGTCAGAAGTGTCACTGAGGGTTTGCACTTTACTATTTGACTCTGCAGTGTCACCCATTCTGGGCTTTGAAGTTCACCAGAAGACACTCAACGATTAAAAATAGTTTGCCTCGTGTGTGAAACATACTGCACACAGTGGCCTTCAGTGAATAGGATCCAAAGAGATGGAGATGCTAGGCTTCTTGCTTTTACTATCCACAGGTCTCTAGCACTCCTCCCAACCCATCGGACTCCCCACTGTGTTCTTTACTTCTAGCAATAAGAAGCCCAGTGGAGCCGCCACACTGCGCAGCAAGTGCTCGCAACAAGGGGTAACACGCACCCTGTGGGCCTGTGTGTCGGCACAGCAGCTGGGAAGGCTGTGGCATACCAAGTCTCACCCCATCCCAAGCCTGCCGAGAGCCCCAGCGTCCCAACAAGCCCGTGGTGGTGTGGACTCCCAGCAGTACAGTGTGCACCTGGTGGGAGCGGGAGTGTGGTCAGCAGCATTGGACCTGTTAGCTTTCTGGCTTCGTTTATTGAACTCTGTAGATAGCTGAGTGGGGATGTGGGTGTTTAGGATCAGAAGCAAAACACGGACTGTGTTCTTTTGCGGTGTTTTTACATGTTTTCATGGAGGGAGTAAATAAGGAAGTGACAGAGGTAGGCAGAGAGGTGTTTTCCAAAGTGATTGGCTCATCCTGGGCTCTGGCTCTCCACATTGCTAATGTCCAGTGTCCTCTTTGGTTGTGGTGGCAGGGGCAGCTCAGGCTTGGATCACACCAGGCAGAAGAGATCCCAGCAGACAGTTACTGAGTACTTGGAAGGCTTAGCATTCTTATTCAGGAGCAGTTTCCACCCGTTGGCTGGTTCCTTTATGCTAGTTGGGGTTGAACCTTGGGCCTCCTCATGGAGTTACATCCCCAATGTCTCCCTAAATCATTAAGTTAACGAGCCTGGGCTTGAACTTGTGATCTTGCTGCCTCAGTGACAAGTATGCGTCACCATGCCCAGCTCACTCCAGATTAATTTTGTTTTACTCAGAGAAATAGACTTGGATATTTTTCTAGTCCCCTGCCAGCCTTAAACTCACAGAGATCCTCCTGCCTCAGCCTCCCCAATGCTGGGATTACAGGCATGCACCAGCACAACTGGCTAGGACTGTTTGTTCTTTATTAGTGTGTCATACACAAGAGTGTCCAGGCCCTGAAAATGAAACATTGTTTACAACCCCAGCTTGAGTGAGGGTCTCGCACTTGGAGAGTTTTGGTTCTCAGAAGGTGGTCAGCCTTCAGGTGCCGTGTGCATTGGCTGCTCAGACCACCGTTCCTCTGGGAGTTCTTCCCCAGAGCTGCAAGGCAGTCAGTAACAAAGGCTTGCCACTGGTGGATTTCTGAATTCATTTTAGGGCTGCTCCATACTCAGGTGTTACCATCCCGGTCCTCCTCTGGTTCTGTGGCGAATGTCGTGCATCAGCAAGCAGCAGGATGATGCCGGTGAGACAGCAGGCTGTAGTGGGTCGGCCTCACCTGAAGTGACTTTGCTGCGGAAGTTGCCACTGCGGCTCTGCAGCGACCTCTGCTTGCTGGAGGGCCTTGCGTCTGAGGCGCCTTTCCAAGCATGTGACCACGAGGGGGTCTGCCAAGTGCTCGATCTTGGTGGCGAACAGAGAAGGCGACTGAATGATCCACGGCAGGTCTCCCAGTCCGTACACACAGGCATCGTGGACGTAGTGCCCTGAGGAGAGAAATGTGGACACTAAGCTGCTGTTTCCCACCTGCTTGTATTCATCAGGCTGGGTGCACACACACATGTGCGAGCACACACACACACACACACACACACACACACACACAGCTTCATGTGCAGGGCCTCCGCTTCATAAGAGTTCATTTGAGCACAGTATCTTGCTTTGGTAAAAGCTATGTTGAAGTCTGGGTTTATAGCAGGAAAGGACATTTTCTACTTCTTGTTAGTGATTTCTAAAATGTTTGGTGGCAGCTGTAGATGAATACTGTGGAATTTTAGCTAGTCGCGAGCTCGGGAAGATGAAATAGCATTTGTTTGCCCAGCAAAATATAAATTCTGATAGCTCTGGTTCTGATTTCTAGTTGCAGGTAGCTCCTGAGAAAGGTGCACGGTTACTCTCTGCTTCCTTTGTTGGCTGTTGGAAGTGAACGTGGGGTGCGAGTGAGATGGGAAACTGGGAATCAGCGTCGGAATCTGGGGCTGATTGTCCCCCTTTGTGGCAGACTGCTGCGTCAGGCACTTGCTGCTCGCCCAGCCCTCGACAGTGCGCTGACATGGTCCACTGGCACGCAGTCTGCAGGTACAGCTGAGGTTTCAGGGTCCCCAGGGGAGGCTGGAGTCCCCGTGCACCCGGCTCGTGGCCCGCACCATGAAGGGCCTGAGCCGTTAGATGAACGAGCCGGGGTCATGGTCACAGGTTTCTAACTGGTAGGCACCCTTGGAATAAAGTCTGGGGCTCTCAGTAGAGCTGCAGTCAACCAGTTAAAGCCCCACATAGCAAGCTAAGCCTCATGAGGAGCTTGGGGTGCTGGTAAGACACAAGGCAGCTGCGCCTTTACTGTAACCATAAAACTACAGTTTGGATACACGTGGACTTGAACGGAAGGAGCACAAATAAATGGAAAATCCTCCCAATTGTTTGTGCCCTTCTGGTGACCAAAAATGAAGGCTTCATTGTGACGGGATTCTCTTATCCCGAAGGCTGAGAGCCCGCTCGCTAAGGACAGGGCGGGTCACCGCTCGCTGTGTGCAGTGTGCTGCGTGCGTGGTCCCCAGTGGAGTCATCGTGTGCCTTGTAAATCCTTCACGGCAAGTCGCCCAGCACTTCCCGCCTGCCGGGGAGCCTGCAGCCAGGGCAGGAGTGTCGCTCCCCTAGAATTGTGGTGGCAGCACCGGCGCCTCCTGTCTGCGTGCAGCCTGTTCATGTGAGGTTGGTCTTAAGCAGCTGGCTGAGCCTGGTTTATTTGCCAGGTCTAAAGCACCAGCGTCAAAATTCTCCGAAGAGAAGGACCGTAGTTTGTGTGGCTTCACTGTGAGGTTTGCTGATTAAAACTCACAGGAAGGGTTTCTGTAACTGGATGAACTTAGGTCATAGCTCCAGGATTCTGGTGGAGAACTATTCAGAATATATAGATTTTAGTAGCTGGAAATACCGCCTTGCAATAATTAAGCCTACTGCAATATTTTTAGCATATTTCTTTTAGAGAGAATGTAAGCAAGGCTGATAGGTTTTGATGGTGTCGCAGCAGAGAAACAGGCAGAAGAAAAAAGGAAAGGGGCTGTTTTATCTTTGAGGACACCGAAAGAATCTGAGAAAGATGAGGAATTTTCTGGACTGGAACAAAGGGAGGCTATGACCCTTTGCCAGGGGTGGAGTTTGAGGGGAGGTTTAGAAATACCTGAGAATCTGATTGGGGTCTTCCCTGAGGCAGCAGGAAAGGTGAAAGGAGATTGCACCTGGGCTGAGTTGGAGAAGAGGGCTGGTGGTCTCTGGGAGGATAAGCTGTTGTTAAGGGCTTCAGCCATATTGGATGACCACCATAATAATTCAGCAATTCGTACTAGGGCCAGAACCTATCAAGATGAGGGTGAAGCCAGCAGTTCTAGAACAGGCAGCCGCAGGCTATCTGTAAAGAGCCAGGGGGCATTTTGTGGCTTTGTGGGCCCAGAGTTTGTGTCCTAACCACCCCATCTTGCCCTGTGCATTATGAACAGCACTATGTGAAGGGCTGTGGCTGTGTATGTGAGTGGCGGCCCGTGCTTCTGATGCAGCACAGGCAGTGGTTGTTTAACAACCTGCTCTCAAGCTTGTACCTGTGCTGGCTAGTTTTATATTCTGAACAAGGGAAACAGGAACGCCAGCCAGATTGTATTGTTGTTGCTAAAGGACTGGCTAAGTTACAGTGCTTCCTGTTCCTTGTGGCGGCTTACCCCTGGGGCTCAGGGCATGGCTTGGTGGCAGAGAGCTTGCCTAGCATGCACGCAGTCCCATCCAGCACCTCTGAGAGGAAAAGCTTATCATCCCATGTGTTTGTGATGTGTACACTATTCTGTGTGAATTGTACAGTAAGTTGTTTGTGTGAATTCACACCCAAGGTGATAGCGTCTTGAGTTCAGATTTTGTCCCCACCCATACCAAGCCGCAGCCGTATGGTTTCTGTAAAATGCTGAGGTTGGGTTTGGCCTCTGTTTTACCTTTGCATCCATCGTGAGCTCTTCCTTCCTCTGATCTCCATTTAATGGCCCGCAAGGCTCCTTCCCAGCCAGCGTCTGGTGTGGCCCCTGGAGCATCTAATGGAAACAGAACCGCCATGCGCTGGGGATGGAACTCGGTGCCTCTGCACTGAGCTACCTCCCCAGCTCACTCTATCAATTGATCGATCGATCCTGACCTTTACAAGGTCAAGACAACTTGTCCTTCAGCCCCAGCCTCCCACAAGACTGGTATCATGGGCATGAGCCACCCCACTCAGCATCTTTCAGGGTTGGTCACTATGTATTCCACACTGTTGCTTGCTGGTATTCTTTCTAGATAAGACAGTTGATGCAAAAGACTGAGGGGACATCCTATTGTGACAGAGATAGCCGTTTGTTACATTGGACTAAACCCCTGCGCTTTGGGGATGAGGGCCTGTCATACACCCGCCACACTCCTGGGGCTGACTGAGGCCCAGCCCTCCGTCCCTGCACCTGGATTTCACTTTCTGTGTGTCCCCACCACCTCTGTGCATTGTCACTGTCAGTTATGGAGCATCCTTGGAGTTATGGCCCTCGGCCCTTGGAGGTGGCTCGAGGGAGGGCCTGCATGGCGTGTGGAAATTCTAAGAAGGCCTCAGCCGGTTTCTGCTGCGCCCTCTGTTTGCACTGTCTGGACTGGCTGCTACGTCAAAAGCCACGTTCCCTGCAGGAGACAACATTTTACAGAGAGAAAATGCTCGCATGCGCTCCAGAAGGCCCAGGATTTTCCTCTGCCTCAGTGAACCTATCTAAAGAACTGGTTTTGCTATGAAAACAGCACAAATTTTCATCCTTTTCATTCTTGAGGACCTGTCACGTGGGTCTTTCCAGTTGGATTTATCATGTAAATGGAGAACTTTCCAAAGACTGAGGCTCAGAAGTTTCAGAAGGATTTATCTAAAAAGAAGTAGAAAGCCGGTACAGTGCCTCTTTCAAGCAGAGCTGTGTTGCTTTGGAGCAGGACTCTATAGACTTTGGGCCCCTAAACCCAGAGACCCTCTGCATGCCCAAGTGGGGGCTCTACAAAGCATAAGGCATTTAGAGAACTGTGGAGAAACAGCGCAGTAGAAGGAGCTGTATGAAGACTAACACTCCTGCTGTCCGCTGTAACTACATCCATGGTGCCCGGTTGGTCTTACCTTGTAGTCGGTTCAGGGTCACCCAGTAGTGCCTCTCGGGGCTGCGGATGTCCCTGGACCACCAGAGCATGTCTTTTGCTCGAGTGTCAGTCAGTATGAAGTTCACAAACTTTCTCGTAAGTACATAGTAAGCACTTCCAAAGTAAACTGTCAAGTTATGAGGTGGCTTGTGTTTGAATCCTTCATTTGGTGAGGCATAGGTATTTCCTGTAGGGCTGGACTCAGGGTCCCCTTGAGTTGCCTTGAATTTAGTATTTGATGGTTGGATTACTCCAGGAGTGATGTTTTTATTGTTCCATTTGCTTCTGATGTAGTGTATGATTTCTTTATTGGTTTTGATTGGAAAATCCTCTCCACAAAGGTTAATGACATAGCTCCATTGAAATCTGGGATGGACTAGATCTTTCATACAGTTAATATCTGCCTGCAGTCTTGTAAGGCCAGCGGAAGCCACTTTCTGTCTCTTTGAGGAAATAAAGATGTTCTCAAAACAGCTAGCCAGGGTTTGCACAGCAGTCTTAAGCGTCCTCGGGGCCTTCTCATCCACATGCATACAGTAAACATTTTGAGGCACATATATTGCCCTGAGAAGCTGCACCAACATGGCCAGCTCCTTTGGAAGGGTTATGATATACGCCAAAGAAACGTTGCGCTCTTCTGCAGACAGGGGTCTGGTTAGGAAACGCAAGCCGTGGGACATCCGAGAGCAATTTCCTGAAGTGCGCAAGTGAGCCAGCATTTCAGACCCATGAGGGGTGTTACAGAATTTTGCGATTTGGGGGGCCACCTCTTTCCCTTCAAATAAAGCTGAGCACAGTTCATCGGGATAAAAGCCACACTCCACCACCGCTGGGTGTGTGGGCTCCTCCTCGGGCTCCTCAGGAGTGGGATTCCTTAAATACAGAAATGCAAGGATGCAAATGCCTGTGCACACAAGGAGTCCTGGCTTTGTGGCTCGCAGCTGGCTCATGTTTGCAGCTCCATGTGCATTGTCACCACGGTTTGAAATTTCTTCCTTTAAACTTCCTAAAAGAAGAACAGAATTCACTTTAATGGACCATACTAAACTACATGTATTGAAAGTGTGAATTTTACCAAGTTTCTGTTTGAGATGGTTTCTCATGGTACTATCCGCTCTGGGCCTTGAATTCCTGACCTGGGGGACCCTTCGTAGCCAGACAGGTAAATGGGACTACAGGCCCGCAGCCAGGCCTGGCTGTAACGCGACCAAGCTGTGTCCATGTACAGCCATGGAGCCATTGCCGCAGGTGGCAGGCACTTTCCTCCCCACAGAGGTCGTCGGACCCCCTACAGTGCCTTGCTCGCTCGCTTGCTTCCTTCCTTCCTTCCTTCCTTCCTTCCTTCCCTCCATCCCTCCCTCCCTCCTTCTTTAGGCAGTTGCTGGTATGTTTCCTGTTGCTCTAGATTAGTTTGTGCACTCTACATATAAAATTGGGATCCTAGAACATGTGTTTTTTTCACTTGGAATAGTGATTCTCAGATTCATCTTTGTCATCCCATTTATCACCAGCTCTTTTTTATTAGTAAGTCATGGTCCATCTTGTGGCAGTTTATCTGTTTATCTGTTGGTGGGCATTTAAATTATTCTGGTTTCTGCACAGTGGAATATTGAAAGGTACTGTAGACACCACATACACGTCTTCACTGGGCAGATCTGAGATAGTGAAGCATCTTACCACACGGTGGATGTCGCAACCAATTTCGCTCCTTAAGAAACTGCAGTCTCCAGGGCATGGAGGTGCACACCTGTAATCCTGCTCTGCAGGAGGCTGGGGCAGCACAGCACGCTAGGCCAGCATGGGCACTTTAGCAAGACCTTGTCACCAAGTCAAATATAAAAAGCCCTGGGGATGCAGCTCTCTGGTAGAGTGCCCTAGATTCTAACCTCAGTACTGGGAGAAAGAAGAGAAGACAGCACCTGTTTTCCCAAGTGGTGAAAGCAGGGGCTGGGGAGATGGCTCAGTAGAATAAGCCCTGGCAAGCACAAGGGTCTGAGTTGAAGGGGGAGAGGGGAAGGGGGAGAAGAACACACAAAAACCAAAACAAAGTGGTGAAAGCAGCAGCGTCTGAGTTCCACTTCTGTCCTGTCTGCCCCTTTGTGGTCATATAATAGCATTGGGCTGAGGCAGGAGAATCATGGCAAATTCGAGACCAGTCTGGCTACAAAGTGAGCACAAGGCCAGCCTGAACTGCATAGTGAGACCCTGTCTCAAAAAAAGAAAAAAGCATCAGGCATGGTGCTGGTCCCTGTGGTTTTACAAATCCCACCCTTCTCTGGTGACATATTTGCGTGCTATTCCCATGTATTTGTGTTCTGTGGAGACCAGATCCTTACAGAAGTGAGAGATTGTGGATTACAAGCTTAATCTGTTGAAATGGGTTTCTGAATTATTTGTAGGGCAGACTTCAGTGATTAAAACCGAGGTATCTTGACTCAAGGGAAGTACCTGAATAGGTGTAGCAGTAGCACAGGTCACCGGGAGCATGCTAGTTAGTGCCATGCACGGGGATCGTCCTTTGGGGTCTAGTTGGGTAAGCTGCAGGCTCTACAGTGCCAGCACTTTGTGTTTGTTTGCAATCAGGACTCTTAGTTTCCATAAAAAACCATCTTATTCCTGTTGCCTGTTTTTTTTTTTTTAAAGAGAAAAAAATAAACTATTTCAAAGCAGACTAGCAGTAACGATAATTGATATTGTGTATTGTTATCTACATAGTAGTCACTCAGAGTACAAGATGAAGGCGTGAAATAGCGTCCAAACACTATTAGCACAGACTTTTCAATGCACTAAGAGAAACTAGCTGTGTTACTAGCTTAGCAGTCGTGTGTGTGTTTCCCCTTCCTTTCCCTTTTCCCCCATCACAGTTTCCTGTTGCCTACTTTTAAAAAGCCTTTGTAGGATGCTGGCCCCAGAACCCTGGGCGTGTCATGCCAGCTCCAAAACCAGGCATGGTGGTCACGCCTGTAATCCCAGTGCTAGGGAAGCTGAGACAGGAGGATCACTAGGAGTCTGAGCTGTGTAGTGAGACCCTGTACCAAATAAGTAAATAAATAAATAAATAAAAATTAAAAGAAAACCTTTGTACTTTGAGCTGTTGCATTACCTCACAGTGGATGTGGTGACCTAAATGCTTATTGGTGGCACTAAACATCAAACCTTATGGCCTCCTTTTAGAGATGCTGTTTAAATTATACAGCATTGGGGCCATGGAGATGGCTCAGTAGAATAAGCGCTTCCCTGGCAAGTGCAAGGGCCTGAGTTCAATCCCCAGTTCCAGAAAGAAAAAAAAAAAAAAATTCATAAGTTTCTAAATAATTTAAATTGTAAAAATAAATATTGTAGTGAAGAAAATGACAGTAAAGCTTTCTAGGACATTTAAGAGTAAAGCTTTCTAGGACATTTAAGAGTTTGGATTAAAGGTGAGCCATGAGCTGTAGTCTGTCACACCTATCCCTGTATTGTGGCTTTAGTATAGGAAGCACAGGTTTGTTTTGCTTTGGTTTTGGTTTTGTACCAGAAATTGAACACAGGACCTTGAGCCTGCTAGGCAGGTGTTTGTGCCACTGACGTATCTCCCTGGCCTGGGTTTGGGGGCTCTGAACCCACTGCAGACTCAGTAAAGCCCCTCTGCACCGACTGGATACCCTGTACGGTAGCCCTGGGGACTGGGTATCTTTAGAAGTTTACATAATTAAATGACAACAAGTCCCAGGAGCAGCCACGGTCCGTCAGGGTAATACCCAGGCTAAGTGGCTTTTCCACCTGTAGAGTGGGGTGAGGCTGGGTCAAGCGTTACCTTGTCACCCTCAGTTGGGTCAGCGCTGCCTTCACTTGCTACTGGTCTGGCCCGGGCTTCCTGGGCTTGTGTAGATGCCTGCTGAGAGCTGCATGGCGCGACAGCCGGAAGCACAGCGGTGGGTCTTGGCGTCCAGCCCTTGGTCAGGGCAGGTCTCGTAAGTGAAGTCTTCAGAGACCTCCTGCTTTTTAATATAAATAGCTCCTGCTGTCCCCTTAACACCACATCCAGGGGTAATGGGACATTCCCAGAGGAATGCTGTTTGGGGACACAGGGTTCCCTTTTACAGTAGTGCGAGCTCTCCGTGCTCACTTGGGTAAACATCTCCTAGTGCTTCTGATTAGTTGTTTTGTTTCTGTTACAAAGTCAGTTTTTAGGCCATAACGAAGCTGTATTTAACATGTGACTTTCTGTTACTAATTTCCAAAAGACATGGGTGGGATCATCCAAGTAAGAAATACATACTCCTAAAATGGTCTTTCCTAAAAGAAAAGACCATGGTCTCCTAAAATTATAAGCCATAATTCTTGATAAAAGTTACATCTACGAATTTATCGACTGCAAGGCTTTAGAAGAGTGACCATTCTCCTTGTGTGTGTGCAGGGGACAGGCCAGTTCTCTGGCCAGCCCAGGTGATTTTACCTTTCCTAGATCCCATGTTCTCAGGTGTGACTACATCGCAGATGGTTCCCAAAATTTGGCGCGTGCTAGAGAACACTTCAAAGTGTTTTCTGGGCCCTGCCTCTCCTCAGGTGACCTTTCCCAGGCCTCTCCTTAGATGACCTAAGCTTTGGTCTTCCACGACTCCAGCCCTTGAAAGCCGGGCTGTTGAACTGTATTAGTGCGTAACAGGACTCAGTAGCTTCCAAGCAGTGAGCACTGTTGAGACCATGTCTTCAGTTGCCTGGAACCTGACATCTGGGCACTGTGGCGGCTTTCGGTGCAAACCACCATCAAAGCTGTGGTTGTGAAGTGCAGGGACTTTTCCCTCTTCAGAACTGCAGCAGTCTGCAGTAACCGAAGTTTCCAGACCCCAGCAGAATTGCTTTACATTTGACACTTTTGTCCAGGCACAAAAAGGCTTCTCTCGGAGCACCTTACTCTCCCAGTTAGAGCCGTTACCCTTTCCCGTCTCCTTCCTCACCACCAGCGCAGCCTAAGCAGCCAAAGCCAAAAACACTGTGGTGCGGGGTCATGAGTCTCCCAGAGATGGTTTGCTTCTGAGCATCTATCGCAGGATGGGGTCATTGTATCGGAAAGACTTAGGGAGGGAGCTGGCGGCGTCCTGTGGACAGTGTGACAAGTGAGGCAGGTGCTGTGCCCTGGACTGTGGCCCTAGCCCCCACCTGCTCTTGCTGTGCTTCCCTTCAGGTTGTACTTGCCTTCTAATTGTGGTAGACTCTGGGCCTTCACAGGTCATAGTAAGCTTACTTACTCGACACCTAGCCACCGTTTTTAACTTAGGTTGGCTGGTTGGTTGGTTAGATTTTGGAGACAGAGTCTTGCTATATAGTGCAGGCTGGCCTCAAACCTGGGGTGCTTCCTCCTACCTGAACCTCCCAAATGCTGCCATTCCTGGCTCTAGTTGTTACTTTTAAAGGTAGTTGTGGTGAGTAAATAGGTAATAATGGAAGTTCATTTTTAAAGGTGAACTTCAAAGATGTAGTCCAATAGTTTAAAAATAATCACTGCTTTATAACATTAGTGTTAATTTAATCAGCAGAAACAATTTAGTGACCAAAAAGGGTTTTCAGAGTACTGCATTTATTTATTTATTTATGTATTTTTATGTATTCAGTACAGGGTCTCACTACACAGGTGGGACTCCTAGTAATCCTCCTGTTTTCAGCCTCCCAAGCACTGGGATCACAGGTGCACACCTTCACACCCAGTCTCAGTCTCTGTCTCATTGTGCCCCAGGGGTGGGGCTGTCACAGCATGGCGGGGATTCAACCCAGTTCCTGTGTCTACTTAAGCAGGCACTTTAATCTGCTGAGCTATCTGGCCAGCCCTTACTGTATTAAAAAAAAAAATGATGTTTATTATTGTACTTAACTTCTCTGAGAACCTGGCGCTTAGCCTACTGGCTAAGGACACGGGCCCTGGTCGCGCTCACCTGAAGTCGTTGCAGCCACAGCCGTGATGATTCCATGC